ATACTATGATTTTTCATAATGTAAGCATATCTTTACAAAATTTTGAAAGTTATTGTTAAACATTACAAAATTTTCGTACACATAATATCGTTTTTTAAATTAAGTATTAAGATTTTTTAATTAAAGATCTTCTCATAAACCTTCTTCTTTCAGAATGTTGACTATCCAACATGCAAAACAATTTTGATTTTAAAATTAAAAATACTTTAATGCATTAGAACATTTTCAAATTATCAAATTTTTTGTTTAAAAAACTTTATTATATTAGTTATTTTCACTAGTGTATTTCTGTACAGGTAAGGTTCGATATGACCAACTTCATAACCTCAATAACAAATTAGGAAAAAAAATATAAATTATGCCTCTTTTCGTTCTTGAATGACTACAAATTATAACACAAAAACACAAATTTTTAGTCTAATTTAATACTACATTATTTATAACCAGTTGAAAGCCAAATTTTTAATCTATCAAATGACATATTATATTACATTGTTTTCTGTTGAGGATATCATATAATTCACTTCAAATTTGAAGTCATTATAGAAAGAAAAAGAAAAGAGTAATTTATAAATATATATACATATATTTTTGTTAAGGTGGTTAAAAGGTCGGTCGAATTGAACGACCTCATATAGAGTTAGGACAGAGAAAATAATAGACAAAATATAAAGTTTTACTCAAAAAAATGTCTGAAATTTATTTAGGAGGTTTTAAAGATCATGCAAACAAAATTTGACAATTTTCAGATGAAGAAAACTACTTTTAATCTCAACATGAAAAACACTATGCACTTGAAGCAGTCAACAGTTTCACTCTGTATGTTCAACGAGAAATTTTTAATGAAAATACTTCATTAAAATTTAACTTGTGCATTGGTTAAGAAACTGGAAAAAGTTATTCTCACCCCCACAAAATACTTACTGTACAATATATGTTAACAGCACAGAAAAAATAACATTATAAAATGTAATAAAAATAAAACACTTTAACAATTAACTTCCAACAGAATGGGTATAAAACAGAAGTAAAATAATATGAAAAACTTAAAAAGGAAAAGTATATAAAATTAACCCTTTAACAATAGAAAATCTAATTACAATAATGAAATAAAAGCCACAAGTTTAATATACAGTACAGTACAAGGTAATATAAGGTGCATAGCTTTGGCTTTCTACTGGTTATAAATAATATAGTATTAAACTTGAGAGAGAACTATTGACAATTTGTGAAGAGAGGATGTCACAGGTGAGTGTGGTGAGATAGGTTTGAGTTTCTAGTTTATGGCTTTGTAACTAAATATGATTGAAGGCTATAGGTATTATGCATTGCTTGAGTAATAACAATATTATAATGAGTAATTTACATTAAATTCCATACTTCTTGAGGGGTGGTAAATAAATCAGAGAAGAGGTAAGACCTAGAGAGCAAATGTTACAATTCTCATACTAGGGGAGATTGAGGATTTTTTTATTATTGCCTTATAAAGTTAAGAACTCATATAACATTAAACTTTGAATTATTAGCTACATTTTGATGCCAGGTTTATTCATATACCATGATAATAAAGTAGTTTAATTAAATGTATAATGTAACTACACAAAACCTTGTGACGTGCAGAAAAGGATGCCCAAATGGAGAGAGTTAATACTTATGTTTAGAGGAGGTTTTTACTTATAACATTAGGTATAAACTGCTACTGTAAGAAAGGAAATTTCAGCACTGTTATTTGAGCATTGAAACTTTGCCTTAGACTCATAGAGTGAGAGGAACCTTTAAATCACTTCAGATTAGTAAGAATGAAAATTCTCTGTCTCTATAATTAAGATTATGATCATGTACAAGTTTGTATCAGACTCAGTCTAGGACAGATAGATTCATGTAAGGGGTTTACAATATGAAATTTGGCAATCCTCTTTGTTCTCTATCTGTTTTTAATCTGAGTGAAATCTGAGAATACCAAAGAACTTGTAACTAATCAGGCCTTATCTCTTTAATTAACCCTATCGCCCCAGGTACTCTTTACTGCACATGACACAAGATTTTAGTGTCTTACATTCAACTTTTTATTAAACTACTCTTTGTTTATGTTATACCAATTAGAAATGTATAAAATCTTAGCTAATAATCCATATCTTAATGGTATACAAATTTTAAGTTTTTAATTTTGCAAGGAAATATTTTTAAAAATCCTGAATTTCCACTAGTGTGACCCATGTGACACATTTTGTCTGAGCATGTCATCATCCCTATTTTATCCATCACTCCTCAAAAATGTA